GGAACAATTCTCTGAATGTCCTTGAGTGGCCCAGCCAGAGCCCGGACTTGAACCCGATCGAACATCTCTGGAGAGACCTGAAAATAACTGTGCAGCGACGCTCCCCATCCAACCTGACAGAGCTTGAGAGGATCTGCAGAGAAGAATGGGAGAAACTCCCCAAATTCAGGTGTCAATTTTGTAGCGTCATACCCAAAAAGACTCAAGGCTATAATCGCTGCCAAAGGTTCTTCAACAAAGTACTGAGTAAAGGGTCTCAATACTTACGTAAATGTGATATTTATTTATTTTTAATACACTTGCAAAAATTTCAAATAAACTGTTTTTTAGTTGTTGTCATTATGGGGTATTGTGTGTAGATTGATGAGGGGGGGAAAACAATTTAATCCATTTCAGAATAAGGCTGTAACGTAAAAAACAAAAACGTGGAAAAAGTCAAGGGGTCTGAATACTTTCCGAATGCGCTGTATACACAGTATGTATAAAGTGATGGTCGCATTTTTCATGAGCTGAAATATAAGATCCCAGAATTTTTCTATACGCACAAAAAGTTTATTTGTAAAAAATGTTGTGCACAAATCCCTGTTAGTGAGCATTTCTCCTTTGCCAAGATAATCCATTCACCTGACCGGTGTGGCATATCAAGAAGCTGACTAAACAGCATGATCATTACACAGGTGCACCTTGTGCTGGGGACAATAAAAGGCCACTCTAAAATGTGCAGTTCTGTCACACAACACAATGCCACAAATGTCTCAAGTTTTGAGGGAGCGTGCAATTGGCATGCTAACTGCAGGAATGTCCAACAGAGCTGTTGCCAGAGAATTGAATATATTTCAACGTCGTTTTAGAGAATTTGGCAGCACACCCAACTGGCATCACAACCACAGACCACACGTAACCACGCCAGCCCGGGACCTCCACATCCGGCTTCTTCACATGTATTTCTGTCTGAAGAGGGGGGGGGGGGGGGGGGGTGCTGAGGAGTATTTCTGTCTGTAATAAAGGCCTTTTGTGGGGAAAAACTCATTCTGATTGGATGGGCCTGGCTCCACAGTGGGTGAACCTGGCTCCCAAGAGTGTGGGCCTATACCCTCCCAGGCCCAGCCATGGCTGCGCACCTGCCCAATTCATGTGAAATCCATAGATTAGGGCCTAATGAATTTATCAATCAGATCTGCTTAGCGGTTCTTTTGGCGGTGTTGGAGGTGGAACTGCATTAGCGCTGTCAAATCCACAAGTGGCTCCCGGCATTATACCTAAAGCAGACATTGCCATTGGTTGAATGGAGTCACATTAACAGTTCCTGTTTAAGTTGTTATTCAGCACTGTCAGCACTGTCGACACCTTGTGCAACACTTTTATAAGCCATAAAATGCGTAATCTCCCTGCTTCCACTCACGCTACAACCAGCACTGCATTAGTGGCTTGTGTCTTTTTTAATATCAAGGAATATTTCACTTTCTCTGGTCATAGGAGTAACAACATGAATTGGTGCATGAGGCAGAAATAATGCAGCGCGACTTAAGTTTCGCCATCAGTTGGAAGACTGTGTCCCCTTTTCTCAGCGGAGGGAGGGAGAGAGGAGGGACGGTGAGTCGGGTGAGGCTCCCCGCTGCTCCATCCCTCCCCTGACTGACCATCAGATGCAGACCATCAGTCCAGTAAAGAAAAAGCAAATTATTATGCTCACTCAGCTGTACCTCACAAGTAATGCAATAAATGATCTATTACCAGTGTGATCGTATACCTACAATTTAGAAATATAATTTCAAAATGGTCTGAGAAGAACAACTTTGGCAGGGCAATTCAAGCATAACCAATATGCAGTGATAATGTATTGGGCCTATAGCTTACTGCACAAACCTCATTGCTACAGAACTATTTTTAATTGGTTAATGTTGCATAGGCTTATGTTTTTTTAAGTCATGTAAAAAAACAAATCTGAGCGGTAGATCTCAGCTTGCATTTTGACTCAGAAAGTGAACTTCACTCAGAAAAGGTTGGTCGCCACTGACCTACATTTTCTTGCTCTGAACTTCTACACAGGTGGGGCTTCGTGACAATGATCGCAAGAGCAGCTGCTCACCTCTGACACTGCCAAAACATCCACTATGTGGGTGTCTGCTATCGCCGGTTAACGCTAGGCCTAAATCACAATCGCATGCTGTCGTATACTTTGAATGTAAAAGTTTGAATGAATGACTCATGACTGACAACTAAAAGAGTGCTTTCAATAATCTACATTTTCTAACCAATAACTTGGTCCAATTGTTGAACTGTGGCATGGGAGTCACTGGAAGGTCGCTAAATATAGTGTACAAATTACCTCTGGGCAATTTCATTGGGAACTAGCTAGCTAAATGATGTAAAAGACTACTTACATTGGCTGGGCTCTGTCCATAGGCAGCTGAGGCTCCAAACCAAAAGGAAAATAGGATAATTTTTTAACTAGCTAGCCAGTTCTCAAAGGCACCCAACCCTCACTAAACCTAGCTAAGTTAGCTAGCTAGCAAGCAACACATTGCTTGGCATTTAACAATAGCTTTGGCAATTAATTGATATTTAATACATACAGTACATTACATTAACTTTTGAACTCTACTCTACTTTAATTTTCAAAACAATTCTTACCTTGGTCAGTCACACTGCACGTTGGTTGCGAGCTAAATAAGGACCTAGCTAGCTAGCTAAACTCTTGCTTGCAGGTGAAGAAATGATCTTCTTCCTCTGTCACCCACCAGGTTAAAAAACTATTTTAATTCAATGTTATGTATTAATAATAAAATGTCATTGTCCACGAGAAAGATCTTTGGTGGTTTTCTGAAGAAAATTCAAAATGGTAATGGCTGCTCTCTCAGTTGGAGGTGGGGCTTGGGGCAGGGACTTGGGAACTTTTAAAATTGTGATCGACAGCTTTGGAAAAATATATTTTAATATATGTTCAAACTTGTTTACAGATATGCTCTACATTCAAGTGTATTTTCGAAAGAAACACCTAATTTCGTTTTTTACTATGTTTCATATGTGGCAGGTAGGCTAGACCTCAACAACTACAGAATGCATTTTCAACTACAACTCAATGATCCAATTTTTGCATGCAAAACGTTACTTTGGGAACCTAATGCTAAGGTACAGTGGCTTGCGAAAGTATTCACCCCCCATGGCATTTTTCCTATTTTGTTGCCTTACAACCTGGAATTAAAATGGATTTTTGGGGGGTTTGTATCATTTGATTAACACAACATGCCTACCACTTTGAAGATGCAAGATACCTCCATTCCAGTCTCAAATCTCTGGAAGACTGAAACAGGTTTCCCTCAAGAATTTCCATGTATTTAGCGCTATCCATCATTCCTTCAATTCTGACCAGTTTCCCAGTCCCTGCCGATGAAAAACATCCCCACAGCGTGATGCTGCCACCACCATACTTCACTGTGGGGATGGTGTTCTCGGGGTGATGAGAGGTGTTGGGTTTGCGCCAGACATAGCGTTTTCCTTGATGGCCAAAAAGCTCAATTCTAGTCTCATCTGACCAGAGTACCTTCTTCCATATGTTTGGGGAGTCTCCCACATGGCTTTTGGCGAACACCAAACGTGTTTGGTTATTTTTTTCTTTAAGCAATGGCTTTTTTCTGGTCACTCTTCCGTAAAGCCCAGCTCTGTGGAGTGTACGGCTTGAAGTGGTCCTATGGACAGATACTCCAATCTCTGCTGTGGAGCTTTGCAGCTCCTTCAGGGTTATCTTTGGTGTCTTTGTTGCCTCTCTGATTAATGCCCTCCTTGCCTGGTCCGTGAGTTTTGGTGGGCGGCCCTGTCTTGGCAGGTTTGTTGTGGTGCCATACTCTTTCCATTTTCTAATAATGGATTTAATGGTGCTCCGTGGGATGTTCAAAGTTTCTGATATTTTTTTATAACCCAACCCTGATCTGTACTTCTCCACAACTTTGTCCCTGGCCTGTTTGGAGAGCTCCTTGGTCTTCATGGTGCCGCTTGCTTGGTGGTGCCCCTTGCTTAGTGGTGTTGCAGACTCTGGGGCCTTTCAGAACAGGTGTATATATACTGAAATCATGTGACAGATCATGTAACACTTAGATTGCACACATGTGGACTTTATTTAACTAATTATGTAACTTCTGAAGGTAATTGGTTGCACCAGATCTTATTTAGGGGCTTCATAGGAAAGGGGGTGAATACATATGCACGCACCACTTTTCTGTTATTTTTTTTTAAATTTCACTTCACCAATTTGGACTATTTTGTGTATGTCCATTACATGAAATCCAAATAAAAATCCATTTAAATTACAGGTTGTAATGCAACAAAATAGGAAAAACGCCAAGGGGGATGAATACTTTTGCAAGGCACTGTACCAGAGGACAATAAAGACTCAACATTATCATCAGGGTAGAGAAGGTGTGAGTGTGTATTTTACACATATATTAAAAATATATATATATATATATTCCTATATTTGATCAATACATTTTCACAATATATTTAGATATATTTACATTTTATTGAAACATATTCCAATATATGATTTTTCAGTATGGGGTAAGCATGGTATTGAATCTCTGTAGTGTTGGTACATGGAAGTAGCTACACCACGTCACCCCCAACCAATTAAATAACTCATCAAACAAGAGTTCTACAGATAGATGGACTGAGTTTGTTAAAGCACTGTGTTTATTTATTATCAAGAGAGAAAAAAGGACAGCAAAATCATTACATACTCATAACTGTATGTCTCACTATGGTTACTTGAACATTTTCAAATGCGTTATTTTGATAACATGATACAGTAAACACACTATAGACAGTTAGCATGTTGATGCTGTGCTGACAGGACAGGGCCAACTCTCTTTTAAAAACAAGCCAACATGGCACTCATTAGGATTGAGTTACATCCATCCATCTATCCATCCATCCAAGGACACGCACCCGCAAGTAAGTGGGGCATGCTGTATCGCATTATACACAGCCATTCGAAAATCATCAATACAAAAGAAAGAGAAAAAGAAAGAAAGGCAGAAAGGGAAGTAAAAGAGAGTGAGAGAAATAAAAAAGTTTGGCACAGGAGAAGGGAAGGCCACAGTAACACTGGAGACTGAATAGGAGTCAACCATTTTGTTTCTTATAAGTAAATCTCATAGAAAATCTCTTAAAGCACTTTTGTCAAGACAGATAGAAAGAACAGTATTTAGTATTTACAGAGAGGGCAGGACTATATCAACTGAGTCCAGTGGGGTTGAATTGGGGGAGGGGAGGCGGGGTTAAAAATGGGTCAAGGGGGTCGGGGCACGTGTCTCTCACATGATGATAGTCTCGGTGTGGAGCAAATAGGAGCAGAAAGATTGCTGCTTCAGGGCGGGGCTTGGGGTTCTTGCTATGGGGCTAGGGGGGCGTGCCAAGGGGCTTGTGCGGTGGAACATTGGGCCGGAGGGGGCAGAGATCAAGGCAGTGGGGGCGCAGCTAGCCCACCTGGATGGAGGGCGTTGATTGGCTGGGCGGGCAGGACGAGAGAAGTTCCGTGAGGGGGTTGCTGGGAATGACTCGGCTGGGCTCACCTGGAGAGAGACGATAAGAGTGGGTCAGAACAAGACTGTGTGTGTGTTTGTGTGTGTTTGCTACAGTATGCCTATCTCACCTGCTGTGTGTCCTGTCTGTAGGCAGTCTTTGCGGCTCGGGGGCTGGAGTTGTACTCGTGCTCGATGTCCAGCATATCCAGTAGCTCAATGAGTCCATCGTCTTTCTTCTGACCTGCAACTGGCCCTCCCCTCTGGATCCTCTGAGCTCCAACATGGGACCCACTCAGGTTCCTGTAGTCCAGTATGGGCTCCCCAGGCTGGGATGTAGGCCTCCTGACCCTCTCCCCCTGGACCAGACCCATGTTTGTGTCTCTGTCTGCCCCTCCGAGGGCCCTTGCTTTGGGCTTGGGGCTGCCTCCTTCCTGGGTCCTCCTCTGACCCCCTGCCTGGGGTCCTTTAGGGTGAACATAGCTACCCACTGAGGTGCCTCTACCCTCACCCAGCTGGCTCTCTCTCCTATAGTCTCTCACTGCCCCCCCAGATCCTCGTTCTTGGCTGGGGTCCATCTCCGCTGTCAGCACGATGGAATCTGCCTGGCATTTCTGGACAGGCAAGCGCCCAGGCACCCTGCTGCCGCCCAGCTCTTTGCGCTGACAGACGGGGGTGGGGCACTTGTTCTCGGTAGGCACCTGGTTGGTCACCACACCGGTGTCGGTGAGGGTTTTCCCCTCGTTCTCATGGAGCATGGCCCCAAACTTCCTGAGGACCGAGGGGCTACCACACTTCTTGTCTACAAGGACCCCAGGGGGGTGGGACTTTCTGTCGAGGGCTGGGGAAGTCTCGGAAAGGGCCACCTGGGAGGTGGAGCGGGGGGGTACGGGAGGGCCTTCTCTCTGTCTGAGAGGGGGCTTGGCCCCTGTGTTCTCCTTGTTAAGGTCCCTGCAGGGGGAACTCTTTCTGTGTGACACTCTGTTCTTCCGGTTCTCAGCCTCCTCATCCGCAAACCGCACCTGACCAATCCTAAAACAGATTAACAAGGAAATAATTAAATGAGTAAAATCACTAAAATACGAAATTGTGTAGGCGGATTTTACTCTCTAAACGATCTTCTCAAAATAATATTATCAAAATGATCTTGTCATCTCAGTATCAGTGAGGTCTCTGGACGTCCTTCTTACCTCTCATTCCCAACAGGCCTCCTCTTCATCGCATCCTGGTGCACAGACTGATCCTGGCTCCTTTCTGTAATTTCTTTCTGATGCTGAGAGAGAAGTGGGACAAGGGTTATTTGGGAGGGAAAATAATCATGGCAGCAGAATAGTGCAACTAGCTTAGATACATTATATCAAATTCAGCTATGCAGCCACATTGGCATGGCTTATGCAATTTCCAGTGGAGTATTGAGCCGTGCCAGTTATATGTAATCTATTTAAATGTATATTACTGAAAACAACCCTGCTTAGGCCCTGCCCCTCCAACGTTTGAAGACTTGAAGTGAACAATCAATATGGTCTAGTCTTCCAATGAGCTAAGTGGAGTTTCTACCATATTGCTTTTCTGCAAACACCAAAGGGGTGAGACATAGGGTAAAGGTTGTTTTTCGGACGGGGCTGCCTATCAACTTTAACCCTTAGTTACTGTAGCTACTCACATTGTTGAGAGCTGAGTTGGTCTTCCAGGTCTTTCCGTGACCATGTCCAAGATAATCCTGCAACAATTCTTCAAGTTCCACCGTACCGTTGCTATTTGGATAATAGCCACCATTCTGATGGTTGACGGGGTCGCCGTAACCATTGGGGCCATGACTACAACCATTGCTATAGTGATTTGGCACAACAGCAGCTCTGGGGTGGTCCTTGGTGCTGTTGCTGTGGCTGTCAGGTGGGTCACAGAAGCCATTGCCATTGTGCATCCTATCATTTTTGCCGTTGTCCATGGTGACATCAATTTCCCCTCTACGAGCCTGCACCTCGTTGTAAAGCTGAAACATGAGCAAAAACATTATGATGATCAAAAACCTACTTTCACAACATAAACACAAGTTGGAATAGTTGTTAGATTAATGATTTACACTTACAACTTAGACGTGTTCCAAAACATAAATGTACATACAGATACAAGACAATATGTACACAAAACAAGTCTGTACGTACGACAATGTCAACCTTGTTTATGCAATCCATATAACCATCCCAAAACAGTTACAAAACCCAACTATTTTTATAATCTGCACATTTGTTATGTGTGCTTGCTTCGCTATTTCAAGCTTTAATGCGTTCATTACTATCAACTTTCACAGTGTATGTGTGTTCTGACTGTCTGTCAGCACATCACAGTTTAATTAGCTTGTTAACATTTGCCTGTATCATTAGTCCAGAGGGGGCATGGAGTCTCAAGAAGGGGTGTGCTTCCACCAGTTTATTATAACACACACACACACACACACACACACACACAGAGAAAGACATTCTCTCAAAGTGAAAATATTCACAAGCATGTTCACACTGCTGATACCCCATGTCAGGTAATGTTACCTAGGATCTTGTTTGACCATGTCAGAAGTGTGCTTGTGCATGCTGGACCATGTTTGGACTGTCCCATGTATTTGGATGATGTTTCACTTTAGTTTAGACCTTGTTGGACCGCATCACCATTGTTGACCACTCACCTCCTCTATCTTCCTCTGCATGTCCTGCAGCTGGTCCTCCCATTCCTGCATCTCTGAGTCGAAGCTGTCCAGAAGCTCCACCTTCTCTGTTACCCAGCCCCGCCCAGACCGCTCCAGACCGCGCTGCAGTTCGATGGCCGCCATTTTGGGCCGCTTCCTGCAGCAGCTTTTTACTTCCTGTCACAACTTTATTTTCTTCCAACACTACTTCTTCTTCCTCTTCTGTTTCAACTTCCTAACTTCCTTTCTTTTTCTGTTTCAAGTACCTAGCTTTTTGTCTTTCTGTCTTGAAGGGGTCACCAAGGTGTGGAAATGTTGGCGGAACACTGCAAAGGGAGAGAGAGAGAGAGACAGATAAGACATGGGCGAACTAGAGGACATTAGCCATGTAGACATCAAGCCATAAACAAAGGGACCCCCCTCCCCCCCACCAACACTCTCAACTCTCAGTTACCTTACCTGCTACTCCCCCTTGCAGTTGTAAATATGTAGATTATTACTTTTTTGTTTTTATTTCACTCAATGATCATGCTGCTGCTCCACCTATGGTCATTCCCCCCCACCCCCTCAACAGTCTTTACTCTGCCTCCACCCCAATGGACATTTATTTATTCATCACTGCCACAGTTATTATGATGTATATAGTGCTATTTCTATTGCTGTTTTTTTATTACCATTGTCATTATTTTATTTCACTTAGTTGGAGCTCGAAGCCTAAGATTTTCACTGTATCCTGCAATCACACCTGCAACCCTGTACATGTGGCTATTAAACACTCTCAATCTGATCTGAATAAATATACATTTAGTCGATTTCGTAGAACGATTCAAAACATTTTGGGCAAGCCCTCTGTATTCCCACCCCTATTTCATAGTCATTTAAGCTACCTATGTGACATGTCATGCCACGGAATGCCTGGTGTAGTGTGACAACGTCACTATTTGTCTCTTGGTCACTATCCCCTCTGCTCCAACCCTTCCCTCTGTCCTTCTCAATTGTCTATAATGGAACTTTGGGGGCACATACCCGGCAGCCATGACCAATTTAATGAGCACAGATCCATTTTTCAAACGCGGGGTGTATGTCGAATAGAACACGCCAAATATTCGACACCCTGCTGTGTCATCTTCCCAGAACACGTGCATGTTGTCCGCAGGACGCATTTCCTCTAAGAGGCAGTTACACTATGCGCACAATGGGAATTAGTGCCCTCCGTGTCACCGCTAAATGATAAGGTCAGTGCGCACTTGGCTGCATGCTGCATGGTCAACTCACCTCTAGAAAATTGGCTTGGCCTAAACGGTTTTCCGTAGGCCTATCGCTGCATTGATTTATTACAGTACATCCAGTAATTTTAGAAGGTCGATGCTTTGCTATCAACGAATGTTATATATTATGTGCTTTTACCCCGTCGAGAGTACACGAACACCAACCAGTCATCTTGTGATGTAAGAGTACGGAGATGTTTATAATATAAACCTGTAACTATGCATCGTAAACTTGGGGGAGAGAGCGAGAGAGAGAGAGAGAGAGAATAAATAAATAAATAAATAAATAAATACGCATGGCGTGTGTTTTGAATATTAATAGGCCTATAATAAAGAAATCCCCACATGGCCAAATGCAGCCTATTTGGTGGTGCGTAAAAGAAAAAGCACCAAAAGGGAGGCACAGGTTGATCAAATGTGACCCAATACATCAAGCCCACAGTGCATCTGCAATGTTATAATTTACTACTTGTCCTTATTAAGTGCGTTGTCCAATGAATACATCCAATTGTTGCTAGAAACCCAAGTTGTAGAGATGCGTAAAACAAAACTTAATGGAACTTTCATATACATAAAATAAAAAACATGTAAATATTAACTTCTTCATGTGGCCTTACCTGGCTGTTCAATATTCTCATTGACGATGTTATTGTTAATCACTGAGGATATATCGCAGTGGCAGATAATTAATCCTGATTTCAGTCTAGCCAAGGTATTGACCGTGACCCTCTCTTGAGATTGTCTGTTTGCCGGTGGCGGCTGTGCTCCACCTCTTCCACAGCTAGAGAGCCAGTCCCCTTGTTGCGAAATCCTCGCGTTTGTGCCTCCGCTTCGGTTGCCTCCGCTCTGTTACATATAGTCCCGCGGATTAGATTTTAAAGGAGTCCTCTGTTGTCACGCCTGGCAGGGTTATGTCCGGAGCAGGTACCTTTTTTCAGGGTAAACAACTTATGTTCCAGAAGGGGGACCCAGGCTTTATAGTGCGCCTCGTATTTACGTCGCATCACTGGAGCCAAGATCAAGTATCATAATGTCAAATTTATTCCAGAATTTTAGGTCTCGATGGGACGACTGTCGTCACTCGCATCCTGTCTATAATTAAAAAGCAATGAAGAGAGGGAAAGTGTTTGCATAGCTATTTCAGCTGCCGAGCTCTGAGCCAATCGGCACTCCTGTTGCTACTCTGCTTTGGGGTGCTTGGCAGATTTCGTCTTGTGACTCCAAGCTACTCTTAATTGTTTACAATTTATGATGCCAAAATGTAGCCTGTGTGTGACACCTTCGCTAAAATGTTTATTTTTTACTTTTTTTTTTACTTGATGTCTGGCGCGTTGGCATATACTTTAGTCCCATTTCATTACTATTTTACAGTTTATTTATTTTGACATTGCCATTGCTGTTGCTGTTGATGAAGGTTGCACATTATCATCGGGCGCGTCATGCGACCCCCATTAGGTTCTGACCCAAATAGTTCACTGACATGATGGACACTTGTCGACATAAACAGTAAGTATTGCAAAATGTATCTGATAGCTCAAAACCAAAAAATATTTGTTGTAGATAGGAATGTGGGAATCCTCAGACTAAGAGACAATTTATGCTTGATCCGAAAATGTGGTCGGAGGCATGGTATGGATGGTGTGATGCAATTGCGAAGCCTCTGGAGGCATGCGGTGGCCAAATTGAGCTCTGTACGGCATCGCCATGCGCCTCTCAAATGTTGTAACAATGCGGAGGGCTCCATATTGCTCCGCATTGAAGCGCAAGGGTGCACGTTTTGGTTTTTGCCCTAACACTACACAGCTGATTCAAATAATCAACTAATCATTAAGCTTTGATCATTTGAATCAGCTGTGTAGTGTTAGGGCAAAAACCCCTTGGGGTCCCGGGGACTGAGTTGGGGGCAAAAGTCCTTCATTTGCATTGTGGCTGTCCACGGTGTACAGGTGCTGAATCGGAATTCTGATTGTCGTTGTCCATGGTTCTGAATCACAGCTATTTACTTGTTTGTTTAAAATCGGATCTTCTACACTTCTGTAAGCAATGAGAAGGAAATTCCACCTTTCCTATCAGATTGTAGCCCTACATTTCTTCTATACTACCACATGGTGGTGGCCTACATATAGGCTACAACATTTCTTTGCAGGTAGGGAATATGGCTATAGGATTTGATTTTGGAATTGGGCAAACCAGGTGTTATGCTAACTTACCTTTTCTTGGGGGTGATGAAGGAAGTGGTGGGTGGTGGGAAATGTAGTCTCCAGTGTTGACCCTAAGCATGTATCCTGTTATGTGACTGTGACCTGTGCTTGAATAGGGAGGCTCCTGTACATTGGGTGACCTTGGCAACAAATAAAAAAACAAAACAAAAAAACAAAACAAAGGATGTGGCTATGCTATTGAGGGAGGCAGGATCACAGGACAAAGAAAAGGGTAAACAGAAAGACAAGTTTAAAGATGGTGGCATAAGAGTGGGAGGAGAATAAGACGAGGATGAGGATGAGTAAAATAATGGGCTGAAACATCTGGACAGAGGATGAACAGAACAGGAGTGTCAACGGAGGAGAAACGAGAGGGAAAATAGGGTCAGAGAAAGAAGGAGAATAAAGTCAGCAGAGTATTCAATGGCCACAGACTAGTGAAGAGACTATGCTGATACAGCCAAACAGGCATGGTCAAGTCTACATCTCTACATGCATACACACACACACACACTTACCGACAGTGGCTCCTCCTCCCTGTCCTCAGGTTTGGGCACCTCCAGTCTGTCTATTAAGCCTTGTAGCTCCTTCCTGAAGGCCTTCATCTGGGCATTGATCCTGTACAGCAGCTCATGCTCCCTGATCCCCCCACCCCCCTCCTCCTCCTCACCCCGCCCATACAGGTTGCTGTTGGAAACGTACACCCGCGCCTCTGCGATGATAGTTGCCGTGTCGGTGATGAGCCGGTCGATGGTCCTGCCAAGACGCTCCGCCTCCACCCGTATGTCAATCATCTGCTGGCGATCCCGTAGGCTGCGGGGCAGGAAGCGGGTGGCGGTCTCTGGGGGTGGGGTGTAGAGACCCCGGGTGGGCGTGAGGCAGCGAGTTTGGTTCCGCACCTCGTCCGAGTCACTCTCCCCGCCCACTGGGCCCTCACGTTTGCGGTGCGGGGGCAGGAGGCGAGAGGAGGAGGAGTCATCATCACTTTCGCGGCGCCCACTTGGGCTGGTCCCACCTGCGTCACTCTCTGCATCCCTGTCCCAAGGGCTGATGCCCCCCCTAAGGGCCAGGTTGGAGGCCAGGTCGTAGCGCTGCATGTTGGAGAGCAGAACACGGTTCTCATACTGCAGCTGCATCACCTGGGAGAGAGAATAGGACTGGCTGAATGAGGCATGATATGTTTATGACGTTTGATCTTTGTTTTCAGCTTTGATTCCAGCGATATCTTTTTGTTTACCATATTGTCTGTACAGCCATTTTGACTTTCAATGCATGTTAAAGGTCACAGAAATAAACCAGAAAAACAAATGTGGAAGACCGACCCACCTTCCCACTGAGATCATTAATCTGTAGCCGGGCAGTCTTCAGTTCCTCCTGCAGTGCCTCTGCCTTCTCCGAGCATACTCCTCCTGCTCCTGGCGCCCCTCCTCCATGCCTTGCACCTCCCTCGTGGGTCCCGGCCTTGAACCTGAGCTTGTTTAGTTCTCCCGTCACCCTCTTGTTGTGATCTTCAGCGTCAGCCAGGTTCCTCCTTAGTAGCTCTGCCTCGTCCTCCACCAGCTGCAGCTGCTGCCTCAGCTCTGTCATGGCCTCCCCGTGGCCCCGGCCCGACCCCACCCCGCCCACAGCCCCCCCACCGGACCCGCCTTCTCCCTCCCCTTCACCCCTGAGGTCATCCAACTCCGCCCTCAGACCCCGGTTCTCCACCTGGAAACACATGACATGAAGACGGATTGGTCAGTTATGTTATGAATCACTAGCTTCCTCTCTCTGTAAGCACCTTCTGAACGGAACTGGCAGAAATGCTTGGAACAGTTGTGTTCCCATGTGCAAACTTATTTCCTGGTCTCTTTCATGTCACAACCTACATAAAACCCTCTGCATCACATCCTGTCTTGCTCACCTCCAGCTCCACGATCTTCCTCCCCAGGATGTTAGCCTCCTCCTCCACCAGGCGCAGACGCAGCTTCAGTTCGGACTCACGGGTGGTGGGGGGTCCCCCGGCCTCACCCTTGGGGTGGGGGCTGTCCAGGTCCCCGTAGAAGGAGCGGTACTTCTGTAGCTCCGTCTCCAGCCGGTCCTTCTCCTTGTCGATCTTAGCTGTCTTCTTCCTCAACAACACAGCCTCCTCTTTGATGAAGGCCAGTTGGCACTTGAGATCATCGTTGTCATCCTGAGAGAGGGGAAATTGGAAGGAAGATAATACAGTTCAGATGTACACTAGACACAACTCTCGCTCATGTTTGGAAAAAAACACTTTTTATTGTTTTCTAAAAGCATTTCATGGTGATCCCTCACTTCTGTTGGGGTCTGGGCAGGCTTCTTGTCTGACTTTTGGACCTCCTTGCTTCCTCTTTTCTTCTGAGACTGTTGGGAATTGAATAACATAATAAACACATGATGTAATATGAGTATTCCAGAAAACTATGTGCTGTATAGATTGTTTAATGTATTGTGGGTGGGTGTTCTTACCTCCCTGACTTTGTCCAGCTCATTCTGAAGTGCCTGTTTGGTCACCTCCACCTCGATGAGTTTCTGCCTCAGATTCTCATTCTCGTCCTCTGTCTTTGTGCGTTTCTCCTCCACATTCTCCAGCTCATGGTGCAGTCTCACAGACACATCCTTCGCTACCTGCATTACACAGAATCAGGGACGTTGATTGAAGTTGATTGAATTAATTATGGAGGTGAATGGACAGCGCATTAAGCAACTAATAAAATGAGTTTCAACATCAAGCCTACGGACACACAAACAAACATACACACACTCCTTCCCTACCTTCAGGTCCTGCTCCAGGCTCCTCAGTAACTCCTCGTCGATCTCTCCTGTCTGGGCGTAGCGCAGCTTCTTCCTCTCAGCCTTCCTCAGCCGGTACTGGAGGATCCGGCAGTTTTTATTGGCTCGCTCCAGCTCGCGCCTCATTTCCTGCAGCTGGCACGTGTCCTCCTCATAGAAGGTGTCACGCATCTCGTCCATCTCCGTCCTCATCTCCTCGATCTCCATCTGGGACATCAATATGAGTGATCAGCCAATCAGGCACTGCTAGCCAACAGGGGGCGTGGCGCTCACACTTAAATATTATTGGTGTTGTTGGAGTGTTTAGGTCCTCTGAAGATGATGTAATTGGATATAGAAAAGCTCATCTGAACCGATCAATAGGGTCTTATTAATATTATGTCATCAATGAATAGAAGTAGGCTAAACACAAGATTGTGCTATTTATTGTTCTGAATAGGGAAGAGTGTTTTGCCTTGTGGCTATAGGCCTACCTAAATCATTTAGCTCTGGCAAGCATCAATAACAAACCAAGGGAACTAGGCACATTTCTACATCAGTTCTTTGCATATGTTACGGAAAGAATAATAACTGTTCACTTAGCCTACCCAGTGGGCTAAAAAATAAGCTTGCTTCATTGTATCAACATACAGTTTTCCAGTATATCCCTAATGATAAACCTTGGGGAATATGCCTGGCATATCAATAATATCTCAGTTGCAGTGTTATCATCAAACATGACATAAGCCTACCTTTTCACTTATGCTAATATATATAAGATTACATTGGAATATATGAGCATATGTTAGTGATGCCAAACTTTGGGGAATAGGCCTGAATTCAATCTTATCAAACAGAAAGTGGCCTACCAGTTCAGTTACTGTATCTGCAAAAACAATGTGTTTGTATACATTTCATATTATTGAATGTCAGTGATGCCAAACCTTTAGATCTTCATTCTCATCCACCAGTCTCTCCAGTTCGTCATCAAGGCCCTCGTCTTGCGGTGTCACGAACTCCGCCTCTATGGTCCCTATAGCCGGCTCCGGCGCGGCCTCGGCGCCCGGCGCGCTGTCAGCCTTGGTGTGCATCTTGCTGCCGCTTCTCTTCAGTTTCTTATGTAGGTGGAAGTGGATGAGTTCAGTCTGCAAACAACCCCGGCTCCACAGATTAAGGCCTGCAGCCCACGTATTCCCCGCTTCTGTCCCTACTGCAGCTCGCTGATGCTTTCACCGACTCCCCTCTCCGCTTCTTCTTTCCCTTTCACCGAACCCGCGGTGCTGGAGCCGTCTGGCCGGTATGACCCAATATGTTGGGAAGAAACGCCTTTGATGCAGGGATACACGTAACGACGAACTACGGGTTTGAGAATCTGGTGAAATATCTCCTCGGTATCTTCCTCTCTGCTAGCATCCGCCCTGTTTGCATTGACAGCATCCGTTTCAGCACCATCTGGGTGAAAAGCTGCAACGTCGCATCTCTCGGTCTCCTTCTCATTCACGACAGCGGTCCTAAGCCATTCGTTTACAACCTTATTCCTCGATCCTCCTTTTGAAACTATATTTTTGGATCTCCTGGAGGATTTCGGGGCTGGTTTTGAGGCGCATTCCCGGATTCTGGCCGGAGAGGGAGCCCGATGCTACCTCCTCCCTGTGCTATTGTCTGCTGCTGCCGCTGGAAAATCCGCAGCGTCGCTTGCGGCAGAGTTAATCGTGTCATCCACCAGCCTTGATTTGATTATTAGTTATGGCAATAATAAAACCATAATATACACTACCAGTCAAAAGTTTTTGAACACCTACTCATTTTTTACTATTTTCTACATTGTAGAATAATAGTGAAGACATCAAAACTATGAAATATCACATATGGAATCATGTAGTAACCAAAAAAGTATTCAACAAATCAAAATATATTTTATAATTGAGATTCTTCAAATAGCCACCCTTTGCCTTGATGACAGCTTTGCACACTCTTGGCATTCTCTCAACCAGCTTCACCTGGAATGCTTTTCCAACAGTCTTGAAGGAATTCCCAAATATGCTGAGCACTTGTTGGCTGCTTTTCCTTCACTCTGCGGTCCGACTCATCCCAAACCATCTCAATTTGGTTGAGGTCGGGGGATTGTGGAGGCCAGGTCATCTGATGCAGCACTCCATCACTCTCCTTCTTGGTAAAATAGCCCTTACACAGCCTGAAGGTGTATTGGGTCATTGTCCTGTTGAAAAACAAATGATAGTCCCACTAAGCCTAAACCAGATGGGATGGCGTATCGCTGCAGAATGCTGTGGTAGCCATGCTGGTTAAGTGTGCCTTGAATTCTAAATAAATCACTCACAGTGTCACCAGCAAAGCACCCCCACACCATAACACCTCCTCCTCCATGCTTTACGGTGGGAAATACACACGCAGAGATCATCCGTTCACCTACACCGCGTCTCAGAAAGACACGGCGGTTGGAAACAAAAATCTCAAATTTGTACTCCAGACCAAAGGACACATTTCCAACTGTCTAATGTCCAATGGTCGTGTTTCTTGGCCCAAGCAGGTCTCTTCTTCTTATTGGTGTCCTTTAGTAGTGGTTTCTTTGCAGCAATTCGACCATGATGGCCTGATTCACACAGTCTCCTCTGAACAGTTGATGTTGAGATGTGTCTGCTACTTGAACTCTTTGAAGCATTTATTTGGGCTGCAATTTCTGAGGCTGGTAACTCTAATGAACTTATCCTCTGCAGCAGAGGTAACTCTGGGTCTTCCATTCCTGTGGCGGTCCTCATGAGAGCCAGTTTCATCATAGCGCTTGATGGTTTTTGCGACTGCACTTGAAGAAACTTTAAAAGTTATTGACATTTTCCGGATTGACTGACCTTCATGTCTTAAAGCAGTCCTTCTCAAATAGTGGGGCGCGCCCCCCTGGGGGGGCTCGGAGCGATGCCGGGGGGGCGCGTGTGACCCCGGGGAACATGCTTTTTTTTGCCGCAGGGAGTAGGCTTTTTTTGCACCGAACAAGAGCACACAGTACAGAGCAGGAGATATGAAGTGCAGATAACAAACCCTTAAGAGACACTATGGAAAAATATTTAACAGGGATGAAAAGAAAGGCGGAGAGAGACGGAGATAATGAGATAAACGTAAGTCTCCCGAAAGCTAAGATGAGGAAATATGACGAAGCGTATGTAGCGCTTGGCTTCACTGTGACTACGGTGGGAGACGAGGAAAGACCGGTATGTTTACTGTGTCTAAAAATGTTGGCAGCGGACAGCATGAAGCCAAATAAATTAAGGTGTCACTTAAAGACATTACACACCAATCACGCTGATAAGCCGCTTGAGTTTTTTCAGCGGAAACGTGCCGAATATTGCCAAGAATCGTCCCGCTTTGTGAATGCTACTTCAGTAAACCAGCGAGCACTGTTAGCATCATATAAGGTGGCGTACCAAATTGCTCAGTGCAAAAAAACCCACTCCATAGCAGAGGAGCTGATACTGCCTGCAGCATTAGACATGGTCTCTGTCATGCTGGATGACGCAAGTGCTGCAAAAAAATAAACTATCCCTCTGTCCAATGACACTGTTGCCAGACGTATAAATTACATTGCTAACGATCTTAAAGAACAGCTGGTAGATAAACTCAAAGACAAACGTTTTGCCTTACAGTTCGATGAAGCAACTGACAGCAACAAAGACTGTTTGTTTATCACTTATGTACGTTTTGACATGACAAACTCCCTGTGTGGGGATCTACTTTTTTGTAAATATGTCAGAGACAGAGCCACAGCTGAAGAGCTATTCAAAATGCTGGACTGCATCCTGCATCCATTTGTGTTTGCAGTGATGGTGCACAGACCATGGCAGGCATGAGAAAAGGACTTTGGGCACTCATCAAGAAGGCCTCACCTAATGCTGAGTGGGCACACTGTGTTATACACAGAGAAGCACTGGCACCTTTCAAGGCACCTTTCCTCTGAATTAAGTGAGGTTATGACTGACATTGTAGGTGTAGTACATTTTTTAAAGACCAGACCACTAAAAACAAGAGTCTTCTCTGCTATCTGTGAGGAGATGGGAGCTGAACATCAAGCTGTGCTGTTTCACAGTGAAGCAAGGTGGCTGTCACGAGGAAAAGTCTTGTACCGAGTTTTTGAGCTCAGAGAGCAGAAAATAATGTTTTCGGGGCAGGAGCACAAGTATGACCTAGCAGAAAAATTTAGTGATGAGAACTTCCTGGCAAAACTGGCCTACCTGAGTGACATATTTGGAAAGCTAAATGAACTAAATCTACAGCTTCAAGGGAAAGATAAACACCTCCCTCAGGTCACAGACAATATCAGCTCTTTCACTCGAAAGCTTGCAATGTGGGGCAAGCGACTTGATGAAGGAAATACTGATTCATTCGAGAACCTGCATGAATTTGTTGACACTACTGACTATGATGCCACCTCAGTGATTCCATATATTAAGGAGCATATTTAATCACTGATGGGATTCTTTAAAAAGTACTTCCCTGAAAACAGTTCCCAATATGACTGGGTGAGAGATCCTTTCAATGCACCAGCTCCAACTGGTTTCAGCTTTGCAGAGGAGGACCAGTTCATTGATATGACGTCTGACTCCACATTGAGACTGAGGTTCACATCACAGACACTGAGTGAATTCTGGCTGAGTGTAGAGAGGCAGTATCCACTCTTAGGGCAGAGGGCCATGGGCATTCTTCTTCCTTTTGCAACATCTTATCTTTGTGAGACTGGCTTCTCTGCTGTTGCTGCACTGAAGACCAAGTACAGGTCCCAGCTAAACATTGAGAGTTGCAGTATCATGCTTCAAACCCCGCTTCGAAAAGCTGTGCACTGCAAAACGTGCTCATTGTAGCCATTAATCCTGACTTCCTCATTTTGATACAAAAAAATCAGCACAAATTGTTTTATTCATTTTTGTTTTATAGGTCAGTGTTTCATATATTGTGCTCCTGAGTTAATGTTGCTGATCAATTTGAATGTATTATTATTTATTTATTATATTTTATTTAATTTTTCAGTATCAAATGGTCAAAAAATGTTTACAGTTTAAATAAGGATTTCATTTTTTTTTTAAATTTCAGGCAAATTGATGCACTTTAAGTCTTTTCTGTTACAGACTAAAAAACAATGTTAATAAAGTTATTCTTTGTTGTAAGTTGATCTATATTTCTTTCTTTTTTGTTTTTTTGTTTTCTTTAATGTTAATAAGGATACAACGTTATGCAGAGGTGTACTTATAACTATTTTATAGACAAATTATACTATTTACAGTCGCGGCGGAGAGTTGGGGGGCGTGAAATGTTTACTTTTTCCTAGGGGGGGGGCGTAACAGAAAATAATTGAGAAGCACTGTCTTAAAGTAATGATGGACTGTCGTTTCTCTTTGCTTATTTGAGCTGTTCTTGCCATAATATGGACTTGGTCTTTTACCAAATAGGGCTATCTTCTGTATACCACCCCTACCTTGTCACAACACAACTGATTGTCTCAAACGCATTAAGAAGGAAAGAAATTCCACAAATTAACTTTTAAGAAGGCACACCTGTTAATTGAAATTGCATTCCAGGTGACTACCTCATGAAGCTGGTTGAGAGAATGCCAAGAGTGTGCAAAGGTGTCATCAAGGCAAAGGGTGGCTATTTGAAGAATATAAAATATAAAATATGTTTTGATTTGTTTAAGACTTTTTTGGTTACCACATGATTCCATATGTGTTATTTCATAGTTTTGATGTTTTCACTATTATTCTACAATGTAGAACATAGTACAAATAAAGAAAAACCCTTGAATGAGTAGGTGTTCTAAAACGTTTGACCTGTAGTGTATGTCTTGATATATTTGATCTATCTGGTTGATAAAAGTTGCAATTAAAAATGATGGTCAACCGGTTCCAACATTTAAATAGAAATTCTGGGTGAAATGCACAAAATCTCGTGGCCTTTGCTGCAAAGGGGACATGACGTCTGCAGAGTGACATTGAAATAGTTTTGACTTTGAAAAAGACCCGTAGTCAATAGGCTTCTGTTCATTGGCAAATGGGAATCTAACTTAGGCTATACAAGGCTAGGCTACTATTCAGGTTGTATAGCCTAGTGATAGGCTACACGTGATCAGTGGTGTAAAGTACTACTTAAGTAGTTTTGGGGGGTATATGTACTTTACTATTTATATTTTTGACTACTTTTACTTTGACTTCACTACATTCCTAAAGAAAAGTATGTACTTTTTACTCCATACATTTTCCCTGACACCCAAAAGTACTCGTTACATTTTGAATGCTTAGCAGGACAGAAAATGGTCAAATTCACACACTTATCAAGAGAACATCCCTGGTCATCCCTACAGCCTCTGATCTGGCGGACTCACTAAACACAAATGCTTTGTTTGTAAATTATGTCAGAGTGATGGAGTGACCCTGGCTATCCGTAAATAAAAAAAACAAGAAAATTGTGCCTTCTGGTTTGCTTAATATAAGGATTTTTTTTATTATTCGTACATTTACTTTTGATACTTAAGTATATTTAAAATCAAATACTGTTAGACTTTTAGTCAAGTAATATTTTACTGGGTGACTTTCACTTTTACTTGAGTCATTTTCTATTAAGGTATCTTTACCTTTACTCAAATATGACAATTGGGTACTTTTTCCACCACTGCAAGTGATACAATTAAATGTACACATGCATAGTTTATATATAGTGAGTTTTGTACAGTTCTGTACAAAACTTTTGTTCAAGAAAAATTGCACATAGCCTAACATTAGTTAATATATTAGGCTACAGATGGTCAACAAACACACTGTCAAATATTTTCATGCATTTTCTGTGCAATTTCCTATCAAAACATGTTATTTTAAAGAGGCTTCTTACCGCCAGAGAAAGTGCAGTTTCAGCCCAGCGCTAAAGATCTAGAGAGAGCCTGACACAAGGTACCAACAGGCACTGCAGGTGCACGACTAGCTACACAGTATTCATGACGTGGTGATGTCAACGTCAAACCAGGAAACAAACAATGTAATATCTTTCTCCAGGCCCAATGTAAATGACCCATTGTAGCCTTTTTACTCTCTACATCAACACTACTTGAAAACATGCACACAATGAATAGGCTGTTGTTTTTGTTTTCTTTTCAAATGTATTCTACTTATTTTTCCAATGGCTACAAGGTATCTCCAGTAGTCCTAGGTAGTGGTTCAAGAACTCAGTAACCCATATTGTGCATGTAATGATTTGTGGTGGCCATGGGAGGGTGGTCTCCACCCATCTATTAGCACCATCATAAAGGGATCATCTGTGCCGTGCAGACAGGGTGCCGCCAAGGATACACTGACTGTATGAACTAACTTAGATACAATAAGGTGTTGTTATAAGTGATAATGAGATGAGTGAGAGACAGACAGACAGGCAGACAGGCAGAGGGACGGACGGACAGTTGGACAGACAGACAGACAAGGCAGACAGGAAGGCAGACAGGCAGACAGACAGGTGACAGACAGTTTGAATCTGGGGTTGTATGTGAGTATCACAGCATGGATGGTGTGTGTGTATGTGTAAAGCTTTCACAAGTGTGAGTTTGGATGTAGCTAGAACTTCCCCCTCACTAATGATACAGGGTCAGATCTTTTGTTCATCCCCCTAATGGTTAAGGCTAAGATTGGGTAGGTAATCTGATCCTAGATCTGTGGTTAGGAGGTAGTGTGAGTTAATGTGAGTTCAGAGCAGTGCTAAGAGCACAAGTGCAGTACAGGTTATGGTGACCTGTGTTAAGTGACCCTGATGGAAAGCCTTGGCCTACTGCAATCCTCTTAGAGCTCGGCTCGCGTAGATCCCTCTTCTTCCCCTAGGAGGACAAACACCTCTAGCCTCTACACACTCATCACTTCATCCTCACTCTATGCATACTCTCTTCCACCCCTCTACACACTCATCACGTCATCCTCTCATCCACCCCGGCACTATGGTTAGAGAGGGAAGGGGTTAATATGAAATTGCAGTGTGTGTGTGAGAAAGTGTAGTTTCTAAGTAGATAAACAGTGAAATGTGGCAGTGGTACTGGGGAAGGTAAGATGATGCAGCAGGATATTGAGGACATGCTAGAGGAAAGGAAGGGTGATAGTGGAGGGGGAACAGGAAAAGGTGTTGAAGAAAGAGAGGCAGATGAGGAGGAAGGCAGTGACAGGTTTAGGAGTGAGGCTGGAAATTGAGTGAGCACTGAGAGCTCTTGTGAAAATCCTCTACATGTGTCTGTTAACATATGGCACATAAGTACCAGCTGGTATGTGTATGTGTCGCATATGTGCAGTTTTGTGTGTGTGTTAACATGTGTGAATGTTGCATATGTGTCTACGCATTGTGTGTAAGAGACAGTGTGTGATCTCTCTGTGTGTATATAGTATATGCATACCGGTATTCTTAATTCCATTCTTTTACTTTTATATTTGTGTGTATTGTTGTGAATTGTTAGATACTACTGCACTGTTGGAGCTAGGAACACATGCATTTCACTACACCCGCAATAACATCTGCTAAATATATGTATGTGACCAATAAAATTAGATTTTATTTGATGTATGTACATATGTGTGAGTGTCAATGGCCCAAAGGAAGATTACAGAAGGCTCCTCTTTTCCACAGTGACCTGAAATCCTGGGTAAACTCGCTTTGTGACGTGGGCATAAGCTCTTTTATAGCTAAAGTCTACCCCCCCCCCAGATTAGGGCAGAGCTGTCTGGCCAAGCCCCAGAGACACAGGCCTCTTTCTCTCTCTCTACCTCTGTCTCTCCCAGGAATCTGCGTGACCCGGGGGACAGAGGGAGAGGGGGGTAGGGGGGGCTGGGAGAGGAGAGAAGAGAAGAGGTGTAGGCATCCTACTCACCAGAGCCAGATATGTACAGACCTTTGGAAACTTTGAGGATGAGAATTCTAAAGGTTTCTGAGATGGGGGTAGACCAGTGTAGGCTCCTCAGAAGAGGAAGGGGAGGACCATCCTCCTCAGTGAATTTAATAAAAATAGAACTAGTGAAACATTAAAAAAGTTATCCTTTTTAGATAAACCTATAGTAAATATATTCTCGTCACCAAATAATTGATAAAAACAAACTGTTTTGCAATGAAGGTCTACAGTAGCCTCAGCAGCACTCTGTAGGGTAGCACCATGTTGTAGCCGGAGGACAGCTAGCTTCTGTCCTCCTCTGGGTACATTGACTTCAATACAAAACCTAAGAGGTTCATGGTTCTCACCTCCTTCCATAGACTTACACAGTAATTATGACAACTTCCGGAGGACGTCCTCCACCTATCAGGGCTCTTGGAGCATGAACTGACATGTTGTCCACCCAATCAAAGGATCAGATAATGAATCTAGAACTGAAAGCATAAGCTACAGCTAGCTAGCACTGCAGTGCATACAATGTGGTGTGTAGTTAACTCAGAGAGAGAGAGAAAGACAATTTCTTCCAAAATTAAGGAGAAGCAAGAGAGAGAGCGAGAGAGAGAGAGCGCTAGCTATATTTCGTAGTATATCTTTTTTTCACTTTCACTTTCACTTCCTTAGCTAGCATCAAATGCAGCTAGCCAGTTTAGCCTACTCAAACACCCAGCTCAAACAGAGATATATGCTATGTTAGCTAGCTGGCTATGGCTATCCAACACTGGAACTCTTCCAAGTCAAGGTAAGCTTTTGGTTTTATAAATGTATTGCCACCGGGGCCCGCTGGTGTAACTGCTAAACTGCTTGCTGCAGACTGTACACTGTACTGCATGATTGTAGTGGGTTTACTAACACATTAGTTCTAGAAGCTATGTTGACTATGACGTGACAACGATGTAGGCTGTGTGCAGTTAGTGGTCATGATATGAAGGTTTGGCTTGGAAAGGTTTTTTGGCCTGGTCATAGTCCACAAGGAAAGAGAAAAGGTGCGAGGAGGAGACAGCGTAGATAGATGCGAGAAGGAATTATATATACAACGAGCTGTTTGTATGTGGCTGCTATGAAAGTGAACTGTTTTTGCGTGTGATCAGGGGTGTATTTATTGCGCCGATTCTGTTGAAAAACATTTATTAAACGGAAGCAAACGAAATGAAACGGGGATAAACATACCTGAATTTGTCCAATAGAAACTCTCGTTTGCAACTGTTGGACTAATGATTACACTCTAGATCCGCTAGATGCAGGCAAGAGTGTGCAAGGCGGTATTGAATGTGTCACTGTCTGCCATCTTGATTACTCAAAATTCTCTCTACCTGTGCACCTACGTTGTAAACTTTCATTCATAGGCTAGGTTGTAGCAACCTCATGATGGATATAGGGAAAATGTGAGTATCACATTGAATGGAATATGAATGACAGTTATCCAATATGCTGTAATAGAAAGAAAATAATCTTCTCTCATCTTAAACAGCACTGACCGCCATTGGGGTTAGACAGAAGGGTTTTTAAGCAGGCTCAGGGTTAGGAAAGAGGATATTGAGGGTTAAGGTTTAGTTTTGATATTAGGGTTTAGTTTTTGATAGATCAGGTATTCGTTTTTTTGTCTTAAATAAAAGACAAAACATACAAACATAAATATACACATCCATTAAGTAACATAGACACTAACATACACATAAAAAGGACTAGGGTTGTTGGCATCCTCTTTATTTTCATTGCAGCTGCAGCCAGTAGCTGTATGTGTTTTATTTAAATATAATAATGAATATACTGTTTTTTAAAAAGCCCTTTGAGATGAGATATCCCTTTCCCCCTCAGTCCTGTTTGGTTGTCTTGAGTTAGACATGTTTCTCAGTTGCACAGTAGCTACATTACACAGCACAAAATTAGGAAAATGATGCAGAAAATCCATGAGATCCACAACAACAACAAAAATAACAATATCAATGCACAGGACCAATTTAATAACCAAACAAATAGATAAACACTCAGTTAGCAGTAAAGGTGTTTGTCAGCCAACTTGCATGTACAGTATGTTACCCACCCAAACTCCATAATGTTACACTAACAATTTGCACATATGACTACTCACCCAAACTCCCTATAGATTCACTACCATGCATTCAAAGTGCACATCGTTCCCTCAATCTCTCGTACAGACACACATTCCAGGAATGTGTATGTTTGTGTATATTATGTACGTTAGGGCATGTGTGTATGGCAGAGGGGGCTTGCAGTTAGTCTGTGTTCCAGGTTGACAGGTAGACCAGTACTTAAGTACTGACACAATTGTGTCTGAGACACTTAGAGAGGAAAAAAAATTGAATTGAGAACAGATCCTGTACTGTAAAACAACTTGGTTCCACCAATATTTTGCTTACTCATCGCCCAATGCAAAATAAACCTTCTTTGGTACACATTTCTGGAAGGTTCTTCCACAGAAATAACTTAATTTATAGAATTTAATTTAAAATGCTACAAAATAAATAAGCATTTGTATCACTACATCAGCATTTAGTTAAACAAAGAAAAGTACAAAATGGGTTGAGTTTTGGTTGGAAACACTGTGGCTGCTGAGTCCCTGTGGTCCCTGTGGTTGTGTTGAGGTCTTTTTGCGGTCCTATCTTCGACCAGGACCCCAAAGTAAAGAGACAGAGCACATGAAGAGCAGCGATTTTCTTTTGTTGTAAAAAAAGAACTACTATATAAACAACCAACCCCCTCCTCCCACCCCCATCCCTCCACACCCAAACCTCACCAAACTCCCATGCCCACACACACAAACACAAACACACACACACACACACACACACACCCACACCCACACCCACACCCACACCCACACCTTCACCAGCACAAGTTGGTCACAATTCACATCCTCGAAACATCCTGCATGGGCAGGGGTGTGGTGGAATCCCATCTGCCTTTTGAACTTTCACCCCTGACCCCCCCTTCCTCCCCTTCCCTTTCACCCCACGGTCCTCCAGTTGGTCTGACAGAGGCTCCCTCCGTCCTCTCCTCCTCCTCCTCCTCACTCCTTCTTCGCTCTTCCCTTTTTCTGCTGCTTCTTCCCGTTCTCCTCTACCTCCTCTAACTTGTTGTAGCCGTTGGTTGCTGTGGAGATGCCATTGGTGACGGACTTGGCCGCCTTGTTGGCGTAGCGTGGGGTGCGTCGGTAGGTCTGGTAGTAGAAGTTGCCGAATAGGATGATGAAGGTGACAGCGTAGCCAATCAGGGCCCACTGCATCCAGGCAGGGAATGGGCAGCCAGTGTAGAGGGAGTAGCCGGCATGGCCAATGGTCACATGGAACTGGATCTGTGACGTACACAAAACCCATGCTTAACTGACATGCTTAATCTGAATGTAATAATCCCAACATAATCCCTGATCAATGAGTCAGACTGCACACTCCAAACAATTAAATATATTTTGACATGCAAAGATGTGTTTCAGTATCAATCACACACTACCCGAACAGCTGTGCTATGGCCACAGTAAGAGGGAGACTTACCATCTGAATGATGGTCAGGTATTTCTTCCACCAGAGGAATTTCTGGATCTTGGGTCCGAAAGCGGCCAGGCCATAGTATCCATACATCAGGACATGGATGGATGAATTTATGCCTGCTCCGAAGAATGCTGTGAGGGGGATATAGGTTAAAGGTAGTTCAGAGGGGATACAGGTCAGACTGCTTATGAGTGCATGTTAGCATGTTATGTCATCACCCCTGTCAGAACAGTATAACAGTGCTGGGGAGAGATTATCCAGGTGGGAAAATGTCTTCACACAGACACACACACACACACACACACACACACACACACACACACACACACACACACAACCCCAATGTACCCCTAGGTACTTACACTGTCCACCAGGGACCCACTTGATTCCGATCCACCAGAGGATGAACATGGTGCAGTGATGGTAGACATGGAGGAAGCTGACCTGGTTAAACTTCTTCCTCAGGATGAAGAACACTGTGTCCAGATACTCCACTCCCTTAGAGATGTAGTACCACCACAGAGCAGACGCTATCTGCCAACGGGAAGAGGGAGGCAGTGAGCTATCTCAACATATACAGTTGAAGTCGGAAGTTTACATACACCTTAGCCAAATACATTTAAACTTAGTTTTTCACAATTTCTGACATTTAATCCTAGTAAAAATTCCCTGTCTTAGGTCAGTTAGGATCACACATTTATTTTAAGAATGTGAAATGTCTGAATAATAGTAGAGAGAATTATTTATTTCAGCTTTTATTTCTTTCATCACATTCCCAGTAGGTCAGAAGTTTACATACACTCAATTAGTATTTGGTAGCATTGCCTTTAAATTGTTTAACTTGGGTCAAATGTTTCGGGTAGCCTTCCACAAGCTTCCCACAATAAGTTGGGTGAATTTTGGCCCATTCCTACTGACAGAGCTGGTGTAACTGAGTCAGGTTTGTAGGCCTCCTTGCTCGCACACACTTTTTCATTTTCTATAGGAATGAGGTCAGGGCTTTGTGATGGCCACTCCAATATCTTGACTTTGTTGTCCTTAAGCCATTTTGCCACAACTATGCTTGGGGTCATTGTCCATTTGGAAGACTCATTTGCGACCAAGCTTTAACTTCCTGACTGATGTCTTGAGATGTTGCTTCAATATATCCACATAATTTTCCTTCCTCATGATGCCATCTATTTTGTGAAGTGCACCAGTCCCTCCAGCAGCAAAGCACCCACACAGCATGATGCTACCACCCCCGTGCTTCACGGTTGGGATGGTGTTCTTCGGCTTGCAAGCTGACCCCTTTTTCCTCCAAACATAACAATGTTCATTATGGCCAAACAGTTATATTTTTGTTTCATCAGACCAGAGGACATTTCTCCAAAAAGTACGATCTTTGTCCCCATGTGCAGTTGCAAACCGTAGTCTGGCTTTTTTATGGCGGTTTTGGAGCAGTGGCTTCTTCCTTCTGGCCTTTCAGGTTATGTCGATATAGGACTAGTTTTACTGTGGATATAGATACTTTTGTAGCTATTTCCTCCAGCATCTTCACAAGGTCCTTTGCTGTTGTTCTGGGATTGATTAGCTTTCGCACCAAAGTACGTTAATCTCTAGGAGACAGAACGCGTCTCCTTCCTGAGCGGTATGATGGCTGCGTGGTCCCATGGTGTTTATACTTGTGTACTATTGTTTGTACAGATGAACGTGGTATCTTCAGGCATTTGGAATTGCTCCCAAGGATGAACCAGCCAGCAGCGTTCGATTGAAAAGCATGCATTTAGTTTTACTAGTGTTTAAGAGCAGTTGGAGGCTACTGAAGGAGTGTTGTATGGCATTGAAGCTCGTTTGGAGGCTTGTTAACACAGTGTCCAATGAAGGGCCAGATGTATACAAAATGGTGTCGTCTGCGTAGAGGTGGATCTGAGAGTCACCAGCAGCAAGAGCGACATCATTGATATACACGGAGAAAAGTGTCGGCCCAAGAATTGAACCCTGTGGCACCCCCATAGAGACTGCCATAGGTCCAGACAACAGGCCCTCCGATTTGACACACTGAACTCTATCTGAGAAGTAGTTGGTGAACCAGGCGAGGCAGTCATTTGAGAAACCAAGGCTATTTAGTCTGCCAATAAGAATGCGGTGGTTGACAGAGTCGAAAGCCTTGGCCAGGTCGATGAAGACGGCTGCACAGTACTGTCTATTATCAATCGCGGTTATAATATCGTTTAGGATCTTGAGCGTGGCTGAAGTGCACCCATGACCAGCTCGGAAACCGGATTCCATAGCGGAGAAGGTACGGTGGTATTCGAAATGGTCGGTGATCTGTTTGTTAACTTGGCTTTCAAATACTTTCGAAAGGCAGGGCAGGATGGATATAGGTCTGTAGCAGTTTGGATCTAGAGTGTCACCCCCTTTGAAGAGGGGGATGACCGCGGCAGCTTTCCAATCTCTGGGGATCTCAGACTTTATGAAAGAGAGGTTGAACAGACTAGTAATAGGGGTTGCGACAATTTCGGCGGCTAGTTTTAGAAAGAAAGGGTCCAGATTGTCTAGCCCAGCTGATTTGTAGGGGTCCAGATTTTGCAGCTCTTTCAAAACGTCAGCTGTCTGAATTTGTGTGAAGGAGAAGCGGGGGGGGGGGGGGGGGGGGGGGGGGCATGGGCAAGTTGCAACGGAGGGTGCATAGTTGGTGGCCAGGGTAGTGGTAGCCTGATGGAAAGCATGGCCAGCTGTAGCAAAATGCTTGTTGAAATTCTCAATTATTGTAGATTTATCGGTGGTGATAGTGTTTCCTAGCCTCAGTGCAGTGGGCAACTGGGAGGAAGTGCTCTTATTCTCCATGGACTTTACAGTGTCCCAAAACTTTTTGGAGTTAGTGCTACAGGATGCAAATTTCTGTTTGAAAAAGTTAGCTTTTGCTTTCCTGACTGCTTGTGTATATTGATTCCTAACTTCCCTGAAAAGTTGCATATCGCGGGGGCTATTTGATGCTAATGCAGTACGCCACAGGATGTTTTTGTGCTGGTCAAGGGCAGTCAAGTCTGAGGAGAACCAGGGGCTATATCGGTTCTTAGTTCTGTATTTTTTGAATGGGGCATGTTTATTTAAGATTGAGAGGAAATTACTTTTAAGGAACAACCAGGCATCCTCTACTGACGGAATGAGATCTATATCCATCCAGGATACCTGGGCCAGGTCAATTAGGAAGGCCTGCTCGCTAAAGTGTTTTAGGGAGCGTTTGACAGTGATGAGGGGTGGTCGTTTGACCGCGGACCCGTTACGCAGGCAATAAGGCAGTGAGCGCTGAGATCCTGGTTGAAGACAGCTGAGGTGTATTTAGAGGGTATGTTAGTCAGGATGATATCTATGAGGGTACCCATGTTTACGGATTTAGGGTTGTACCTGGTAGGTTCGTTGATAATTTGCGTGAGGTTGAGGGCATCTAGTTTGGATTGTAGGATGGCCGGGGTATTAAGCATATCCCAATTTAGGTCACCAAGCAGTACGAACTCTGAGGATAAATGGGGGGCAATCAATTCACATATGGTGTCCAGGGCACAGCTGGGGGCTGAGGGGGGTCTGTAGCAAGCGGCAACAGTGAGAGACTTATTTCTGGAAAGGTGGATTTTTAGAAGTAGAAGCTCAAACTGTTTGGGCACAGACCTGGATAGTATGATATAACTCTGCAGGCTATCTCTACAGTAGATTGCAACTCCACCCCCTTTGGCAGTTCTATCTAGACGGAAAATGTTATAGTTGGGGATGGAAATTTCAGAATTTTTGGTGGCCTTCCTGAGCCAGGATTCAGACACTGCTAGAACACCAGGGTTGGCGGAGTGTGCTAACGCAGTGAATAACTCAAACTTAGGAAGTAGACTTCTGATATTTACGTGCAAGAAACCAAGACTTTTGCGATTACAGAAGTCAGCAAATGATAGCGCCTGGGGAGTAGGAGTGATACTGAGGGCTGCAGGGCCTGGGTTAGCCTCTACATCACCAGAGGAACAGAGGAGGACTAGAATAAGGATACGGCTAAAGGCTTTAAGAACTGGTCTTCTAGTACGTTGGGTACATAGAATAAAGGGGGCAGATTTCCGGGTGTTGTAGAAAAGATTCAGGGCATTATGTACAGACAAGGATATGGAAGGATATGAGTAAAGTGGAGGTAAACCTAAGCGTTGGGTAACAATGAAAGTGATAGTATCACTAGAGGCACCAATTGAGTCGGTCTCCGCGTGTATGGGGGGTGGGACAAAGGAGCTATCTAAGGCAGGTTTAGCTGGGCTGGGGGATCTACAGTGAAATAGTACAATTAGAAATAACCGAAACAACAATAAGCTAACCATGTTTGGGCTGAGGCTAAACATAAACAGGATGTAGTACCGTAAAAAGGAACAGTCCAGCAGACATCAGCTGTATAGCTGAGTTATCATAAGGTCCGGTGAACAGCAATAGGATAGTTCGGAGGCTGCTAAAGCACTAGCGAGTAAGAGGCCACGGCTAGCGTGTGCTAGCGGGCCGGGGCTAGCAGATGGAATCTTCGTGGTCGACGTTGTAACCACATCAGACGATTTCATCGGCAGACCAGTCGTGTAGGATCGGCGGGGCTCCGTGTCAACACTAGGTGGTCCCGTCCGGTTGACAGAGAGGTAGATAGCCGGGAGATGGGCCTAGCTCAGGATGATTAGCCAGACCACAGCGTCCATATAGTTGCAGCTAGCTGGTAGCGATGAATCCGGAGTTAAAGGTCCAGTGATTCAGTGATTCCGGCAGAAAAACTGATATGTTCTGGGTCGATAACGCGCTGTGCAGACTGGCCGAATATCCGGTGATTAATATCCAGTGATTAAATTAATCCCGCAGAAAAAAAAACAATGTTCTGGGTGAAATACAGCTAACTGTGGCTAATAACAAGTAGCTAGTTAGCTGGCTAGCTAGTTTCAACTGGAGATTCTAGATAAAAGGTAAGTCAATAATAGAATCCGTTCCACATTGAGTGAGGCGGGTTGCAGGAAAGTATATTTTGTAGAAGAATGAAACGTCTGATAGGGAAATATGTACGAAAAATACAACAAAAACAGGGTATTTACAGGCTATTTACAGACACACGACAAAAACAGAACTGCACTACTTCGCCATCTTGGATTCAACTCTATAAGGTCTCAAATTATGTCAATTAGCCTATCAGAAGCTTCTAAAGTCATGACATCATTTTCTGGAATTTTCCAAGCTGTTTAAAGGCACAGTCAACTTAGTGTATGTAAACTTCTGACCCACTGGAATTGTGATACAGTGAATTATAAGTGAAATAATCTGTGTGTAAACAATTGTTGGAAAAATGACTTGTGTCATGCACAAAGTAGATGTCCTAACCGACTTGCCAAAACTATAGTTTGTTAACAAGAAATTTGTGGAGTGGTTGAAAAACAAGTTTTAATGACTCCAACCTAAGTGTATGTAAACTTCAACTGTACAAGATCATTGCTGCTCAACTCAAAGACAATGAAGATTCCCAATTTCCTGAAACGCTTTAAAGAGGATTCTAAAGGATTTTATGGATTCCACTGGGTTGGGATTATGGATAACAAACGCTAGTCACCTTGTTTTTCACACACACACTCATTATCATGCATCATCCACACATGTATGCATCAAGGACACACCCTCACACGCACAAACACATTTTATTGCAATTATTGAATCTATTGAAGTCACTGAAGTTGGGATGTAAGGTTCAATTGGATCCTGATCAAGATCAAAGATAACTTCACCTGGATCATCTCTGTAAATCTAAGGTCAGAGTCAATAATGTTAGGGTCAACTCTGTCCATAGGGGATCGTGATGACCGTGAAAGGGGCATTGGTAAATTACATGGCAGGTTAGCCTGTGGTCTGGTAGAGAAAGTTTTTTTTTAAGGGGATGGTACAATAAGCGCTAATACATGAGGATAGCTGTTGTATTAGGGTTGTTGCTGGCTTGTTCCCAAGCCTATAAGAAAAGTAGAGCTCAACCTCTTGTATGTCAGACTACAACTGGACAAAGTAGCCTGTCCATATCCATTCCCAACCCCCACCAACATACTCTCTCTCTCGTATCCCTTTGTATTTGCTACACACACACACACACACACACACACACACAGAGAGAAAGAGAGAGAGACAGAAAGAGCGAGAGAGCGAGAGAGAGAGAGCGAGAGAGAGAGAGAGAGAGAGAGAGAGAGAGAGAGAGAGAGAGAGAGAGAGAGAGAGAGAGAGAGAGAGAGAGAGAGAGAGAGAGAAGCTGTGTGCCACAGTGCCCTGAGTGTGTCACTCTTATCCCTCAGTAATGCCATCATGCTATGGGCGGGTTCAGAAGTGGTGAGACCTAATAACTCCTCCCCTTTATGCTAAAGGTCACGCCCCCTCCATCCTGGAATCACCATAGATCTATCTCTGACATTCTCCTCCTCTCCCTCTCTCTATCTCTTACACACACACCCACCCCCCCCCCCCCCCCCCCCCCACACACACACACACACACACATACACACACACACACACACACACACACAAATAGAGTGATAGTCTACTTAAACTAACAATAGGATTACAGTACGGCTGCTTAGATTTACACAGAACCACATGCTGCTAAAGCTTGACCTCACTCTACACCTCAAATACAGGAGTCCCAACCTGTATCAATTAGAAGGCTGGAAGGCTAACATGTCCAGTCTTTGCTGGCTTATGAACAGAATGACCAGACAAGCTGTAGCTCTTGGCCTTTTCATCAAACTGATAGAAAAATAGTGTAGTGTGTCATGTTTGCTCACCCTGACTTCGTTGACGTCGTTGGAGTAGCTGACAGGTTGACATAGGTAGCTGTACCCCGCTGCTCTTGCACCCAGGAGGAGCTGAGGACCACAGAGATACAATGTTAGGGACACAACATTAGGAACACAATGTTAGGGATAGTCCCTTTCCTCTAGACCAGGAATGTGCAACTTTGATTGGGGTGGGGGCCACAAAAAATCTGAACTCATCATAATATGCCATTTATAATATGCCATTTAGCAGACGCTTTTATCCAAAGCGACTTACAGTCATGTGTGCATACATTTTTACGTATGGGTGGTCCCGGGGACCGAACCCACTACCCTGGCGTTACAAGCACCATGCTCTACCAATTGAGCTACAGAGGACCACATGAGGGGCCGCAGTGGCTCACGGGTCTGCGCCGTATCGACATCCATACCCACACATGCAGGTCTGAGCCGGCCCTAGCCTTTTGAGGGACCTAAGTGAAATGTTGTTGTTGCCATGTTGTGGAGAGAAGATTTTGTAATTTTATAACTAATTTTATGCAAATTCTTCTAATTCTGCCATGGGGCGGAGAGAACAATGTGCAGTTTTACAGCTAATTTCTTGCAATTCTACACATTTTGTCATAGGGTGGAGAGAAATGTTAGCATTTTTTAATATGATATCTGAGTGAGAGTGACTAACAAAATCAATGGGGGCCCCCTGGTCGGTAATTCAACCATAAATATTACAAGTTTAGATAGCTGGCAAGACTAATTTACCAATCTAAAAAATGACATGGGCTAATTGAGGGACTGTCAGTGACTGACATAACAAGAGAAAAAATTATGATGCATAACCACATTTCGAAATTGCACCTTGTGTATTCTACTATTCTAACGCTCAACAGTAACAACACCCCGACTGAGTTTTGTTAATTGATCCACGGGCCTACAAAAGGCTCTATACAATGGATACACACCACCAGTCCTCAAGGGCCACAGAGACCAATTTACACCTGGGGGACCGGGGGTGTGGAAGCAATTGCCAGGGAGAAATGAAAACCAGCATCACTGCAGCTATCGAGGACTGGAGTTGTGCCCTAGACCCTATTTCCTCTGAGTCTACAGGTCTAAAAGGACTATATAGATGTAACTGTAGTGGATGGTTGACAGGTGCAGTGCTACTGTAGGTATGGTAGGGGAGTATTGAATTCAGGCAGGGTTGGTACATGGCATGCTACATCAGCCATTCGGTGATGGCTCAACCTTGCCCAACAACAGATTAACCTAAAGCAGGGGTCATATTGCTATCAACTATCAACCTACTGGGCACAGACGTCAATTCCACGTTGGTTCAATGTAATTTTGTTGAAATGATGTGGAAACAATGTTGATTCAATCAGTATGTGCCCAGTGGAAGCCGTTTCCAATCTGTAGACACTGAAGGGACAGGGACTGGGAACCAAATAGACAATGGCCTGAAAAGAAATGGAACATGCCATTAATTACTTTTGGTGTAAAAGGAATGGAGCTGGTTACCTCTTTGGCGATGTAAAAGTTGAGTATCACCATACTGAAGTTGTAAACTATGAGGGTCTTCCTTAGCTCGAAAGGCTCTCGATTCTGCATGTACTTAGGCCCCACCCAAAGGAAGAGCAAGTACAGGCAGCTGATGGCCAGTGTGGGGGCGGGTGACGACATCATCGGCCATTTCTCCACCCGCTTGTCTGGGAGAGGGACAGGAAAGGGTTAATGTCAGCAGTGGTCATATGACAGACACACGTAATGTCTGACTCTGAATCCTGTCTGAATGTATGACTACATAATGTTGCACCAATGGTGTCTGGAGGATATACTCAATTATAGTGCTCCGTATTGCTCTAATAGTGTATTGTATTGCACACACGCACACACACACACAAACACACACACACGTGTACCTGAGTTTGTGCTTGTGAGTGTGGTTAGATTAGCAGACTGTCCCTGCTATGTGAGAGAGATCAGCGCTAACTCACCTGCTATAGTAAGGCTCCATCTGTAGAACTCTACCGTGTCATTCATAAAGTGGGTGACAGCTTCCATGGCTGTGTCTGGATTTGATCCTGCTTATGCTGCAGTGAGAGAAAGAGGAGAAACTTTATTACATAGACTAGTTCATATGGAAAAGGAACACGTGTATTAGAGTAAAGAAGGCTAGACAAGTAAAGGTGTCAGCATGCTTCAGTTCGGCTGGTGCATAGCCATTTTGTCCATTTTGAGACTCCGTAGTCAGTACTCAAAATAGTCAGAATTAATCAAAGATAATTAAAGAAATCTGTCATTAATTGTGACGTTTTTGCCAAAGAGATCTTACATCTAATTAGTATTTTTCAATGAAAGAATGTGCATGAACACGAGTCGTCTCTTGTTGAATGACAACAAAGACTTTATTGAAGAATCCCTAGTTTTGACCAATCACTGACGAAGGGGTTTAGACTTCGACTCCTAACTCCGGCTTGCCTCAAGAAAAATATGTGTGTGCCCGAACAGCCGAAAAAGCCCTCAACGAAGTCCAAAAAACGTCACAAAATGTCGTCATAATATATGCACAAACTCTACCGAACTGTTTCGGCTGGGAAGCATGCGGATGCCTTAAACCTCTTTAGATAATTGAAAACCTTAATGTAATGTTGGTGCTAAGTTAACGATTTAAGCACAACAAATTCATAACATATTGTACAAATTGGATTTGTAATATATCATACAAATTGCAAAAAAATACAATATATATATAAATAAATAAATATGCCATTTAGCAGACGCTTTTATCCAAAGCGACTTACAGTCATGTGTGCATACATTTTTACGTATGGGTTGTCCCGGGGATCGAACCCACTACCCTGGCATTACAAGCGCCGTGCTCTACCAATTGAGCTACAGAGGATACAGTACGAGTCAAAAGTTTGGACACACCTACTCATTCCAGGGTTTTGCTTTATTTTTACTATTTTCTACATTGTAGAATAATAGTGAAGATATCAAAACTATGAAAAAACACATATGGAATCATGTAGTAACCAAAAAAGTGTTAAACAAATCCAAATATATTTTATATTTGAGAATGTTCAAAGTAGCCACCCTTTGCCTTGATGACAGCTTTTTCTACTTCCCCAGAGTCAGATGAACTCGTGGATACCATTTGTATTTCCCTGCATGCAGTTTGAAGGAAGTTGCTAACTAGCACTAGCGCAATTTTTAACTAGCGTTAGCGCAATGACTGGTACTGTATGCTAGCAGATACCATAGACTTCCAGTCATTGCGCTAACGCTAGTTAGCATTGGCTCGCGAAACTACCTGTAACTTCCTTCATACTGGACACAGAGTCATAAAAATGGCCAAAATCCCGAAGTATCCTTTTAACATGATGCCCATCAAGTTCAAAATCTGAGTTTGCCAAACTCTGCACATGGATCACCTATACGTAAGAACATTCCCTGGTGTAAACTGTTAGTGCAGGGGTTATTTCCAGCCTCACACTAATTGCACAGATCTAAAAAAGGACTGAACAACTGATCAGTATTTCCCCTACCATTAATTAGGATGGGTACCTCCCCACCCCCCTACACAGCTGTCACTTTTTGAGGCACTAGCTGCTGCTAAAGCTAACATGCATTAGAGACCTGTGAGAGACTTGTATGCCAGTGAACCGGCCGGTCGCCACAGTGACAGCAGTTTAAGTTAATTACAGAGGATAAGAGATGAGGGATTTATGCTCATAAGAGTTCTCTCTCCACACACATGTCAGTAGGTCTCTGTGGTTACCCATCCCTCCCAAACACATGTTCTAAGACAAGATGTAAAGTGTTGGTCTCATGTTTCATGAGCTGAAATAAAAGATCCCAGAAATGTTCCATATGCACAAAAAGCTTATTTCTCTCAAATTTTGTGCACACATTTTTTACATCCCTGTTAGTGAGCATTTCTCCTTTGCCAAGATAATCCATCCACCTGACAGGTGAGGCATATCAAGAAGCTGATTAAAGAGCATGATCACTACACAGGTGCACCTTGTGCTGGGGACAATGAACGGCCACTCTAAAATGTACAGTTTTGTCACACAAATAAATAATTTGGTCATTTAGCAGACGCTCTTATCCAGAGCAATTAGGGTTAAGTGCCTTGCTCAAGGGCACATCGACAGGTTTTTCACCTAGTCAGCTCGGGGATTAGAACCAGCGACCTTTCGGTTACTGGCACAACGCTCTTAACCACTACGCTACCTGCCGCCCACACAACACAATGCCACAGATTGTGTCAAGTTTTGAGGGAGCGTGCAATTGGCATCCTGACTGCAGGAATGTCCACCAGAGCTGTTAGCAGAGAATTGAATGTTCAGATCCTGATGCCCATTGTGAGGCCCATTTTTTAAAGGTATCTGTAACCAACAGATACATATCTGTATTCCCAGTCATGTGAAATCCATAGATTAGGGCCTAATGTTGCATGTTGCGTTTATATTTTTGTTCACTATAAAAACTGATTTAAAAAGCCTTATTTGAGTTGATGTATAAAAGATCATAGAGAACAACATACAGTACATAAGTAAGATACTTTTAGTACTCATCACTGCATTCTCTACCAGAAAGTTGGTTGACCCTCTTTGATGTCATGTAGGCTGATACACTATACAATTGAAGTCGGAAGTTTACATACACGTAGGTTGGAGTCATTCAAACTCGTTTTTCAACCACTTCACAAATTTCTTGTTAACAAACTTATAGTTTTGATAAGTCGGTTAGGACATCTACTTTGTGCATGACACAAGTAATTTTCCAACAATTTTTTACAGACAGATTATTTCACTTATAATTCACTTTATCAAAATTCCAGTGGGTCAGAAGTTTACATACACTAAGTTGACTGTGCCTTTAAACAGCTTGGAAAATTCCAGAAAATGATGTCATGGCTTTAGAAGCTTCTGATAGGCTAATTGACATCATTTGAGTCAATTGGAGGAGTACCTGTGGATGTATTTCAAGCCCTACCTTCAAACTCAGTGCATCTTTGCTTGACATCATGGGAAAATCAAAAGATCCTTGGGAGCAATTTCCAAACGCCTGAAGGTACCACGTTCATCTGTACAAACAACAGTACGCAAGTATAAAAACTATGGGACCACGCAGCCGTCATACCGCTCAGGAAGGAGACGCGTTCTGTCTCCTAGAGATGAACGTACTTTGGTGCGAAAAGTGCAAATCAATCCCAGAACAACAGCAAAGGTCCTTGTGAAGATGCCAGAACAACAGCAAAGGACCTTGTGAAGATGCTGGAGGAAACAGGTACAAAAGTATCTATATCCACAGTAAAACGAGTCCTCTATCGACATAACCTGAAAGGCCGCTCAGCATGGAAGAAGCCACTGCTCCAAAACCGCCATAAAAAAGCCAGACTACGGTTTGCAACTGCACATGGGGACAAAGATTGTACTTTTTGGAGAAATCCCAACCGTGAAGCACGGGGGTGGCAGCATCATGCTGTGGGGGTGCTTTGCTGCAGGAGGGACTGGTGCACTTCACAAAATAGATGGCATCATGAGGAAGGAAAATTATGTGGATATATTGAAGCAACATCTCAAGACATCAGTCAGGAAGTTAAAGCTTGGTCGCAAATGGTCTTCCAAATGACCCCAAGCATACTTCCAAAGTTGTGGCAAAATGGCTTAAGGACAACAAAGTCAAAGTATTGAAGTGGCCATCACAAAGCCCTGACCTCAATCCTATAGAACATTTGTGGGCAGAACTGAAAAGCGTGTGCGAGCAAGGAGGCCTACAAATCTGACTCAGTTACACCAGCTCTGTCAGGAGGAATGGGACAAAATTCACCCAACTTATTGTGGGAAGCTTGTGGAAGGCTACCCGAAACGTTTGACCCAAGTTAAACAATTTAAAGGCAATGCTACCAAATACTAATTGAGTGTATGTAAACTTCTGACCCACTGGGAATGTGATGAAAGAAACAAAAGCTGAAATAAATAATTCTCTCTATTATTCTGACATTTCACATTCTTAAAATAAAGTGGTAATCCTAACTGACCTAAGACAGGGAATTTTTACTAGGATTAAATGTCAGGAATTGTGAAAAACTGAGTTTAAATGTATTTGGCTAAGGTGTATGTAAACTTCCGACTTCAACTGTATATACAAATTAGCGGATTCGGCTCTTTCACCCACACCTGTTGCTGACAGGTGTATAAAATCGAGCACACAGCCATGCAATCTCCAATAGACAAACATTGGCAGTAAAATGGGCTTACTGAAGAGCTCAGTGACTTTCAACGTGACACCGTCATAGGATGCCACCTTTTCAACAAGTTAGTTCATAACATTTCTGCTCTGCTAGATCTGCCCCAGTCAACTGTAAGTGCTGTTACTGTTAAGTGGAAACGTCTAGGAGCAACAACGGCTCAGCCACAAGCTCACAGAACGGGACCGCTGAGTGCTGAAGCGCGTAGCGTGTAAAAATTGTCTGTCCTCGGTTGCAATACTCACTACCGATTTCCAAACTGCCTCTGGAAGCAACGTCAGCACAAGAACTGTTCGTCGGGAGCGTCATGAAATGGGTTTCCATGGCCGAGCAGCCGCACACAAGCCTAAGATCACCATGCGCAATGCTAAGCGTCGGCTGGAGTGGAGTAAAGCTTGCCGCCATTGGACTCTGGAGCAGTGGAAACGCATTCTCTGGAGTGATGAATGACGCTTCACCATCTGGCAGTCCGACGGACGAATCTGAGTTTGGTGGAGGCCAGGACAACGCTACCTGCCCCAATGCATAGTGCCAACTGTAAAATTTGGTGGCGGAGGAATAATGGTCTGGGGCTGTTTTTCATGGTTAGGGCTAGGCCCCTTAGTTCCAATAAACAATGACATTCTAGACGATTCTGTGCATCCAACTTTGTGGCAACAGTTTGGGGAAGGCCCTTTCCTGTTTCAGCATGACAATGCCACCATGCACAAAGTGAGGTCCATACAGAAATGGTTTGTCGAGATCGTTATGGAAGAACTTGACTGGCCTGCACAGAGCCCTGATCTCAACCCCATCGAACACCTTTGGGATGAATTGGAACACCGACTGCGAGCCAGGCCTAATCGTCCAACATCAGTGCCCGACCTCACTAATGCTCTTGTGGCTGAATGGAAGCAAGTCCCTACAGCAATGTTCCAACATTGCTGGAAAGACTTCCCAGAAGAGTGGAGGCTGTTGTAGCAGCAAAGTGGGGACCAGCTCCATATTAATGCTCATGATTTTGGAATGAGATGTTCGACGAGCAGGTGTCCACATACTTTTGGCCATGTAGTGTACATTGTAATGTTTTCATTTATAATGCCCTTTTACAAAAGGTCCCCTTGTAACTATCATTTTTACTAAACTTTAGACATACGAGTTACCACACCCTGTCTCAGGGATGGCTAACTCTGGAAATTCCTTTGGTCTCTACTGTATTTGTCACATATGCACAATACAACAGGTGTAGACCTTACAGTGAAATGGCCTTACTTACAAGCCCTTAACCAACAATGCAGTTTTAAGAAAATAGAGTTAAGAAAATATTTACTAAATAAACTAAAGTAAAAAAATAAAAAAGTAACACAATACAATAACAATAATGAGGCTATATCCAGGGGGTACCGGTACCGAGTCAATGTGGGCAGTTTGGGGGACCCTGAAAAAAAAAACACATTCACTGACAATGGGGTTTAGTTTCGTTTTCACAACGGAAGAGGAAATGGGAGGATGGGGAGAAAGAAAAAAAATGCAAAGGGTGAATAGGCCCGGTCGCCCGTGGAAACGGGCATGAGAGCACACAAAGACACGGGGCGCGTGTGTCAGCAGGTTTTGAGCGGTGCGGTCAAGAGGCTTAAATCCAATTGCTCTACGAGCTTAGATGTAAATCCAAACGCCGGGCGACCCACATTCACAGGGGCATCGCTTAAAACGAAACTTGCACCTATGAACTAGCCTCTTATTTGCGCTCACACATGGCGCATGGGGGATTTTCAAAGAGTGGTTCACTGAACAGGGAAAAGTATGTGGTTAACAGTTTATACAAAAGCATATAGAGAAAATATTATTAAAATAGTCTCTAAACACTTTATAGACACATTTTATAGGCTGCATCCAGTCCCTTCCTATATGCCACCCATCATATTCTAACAACGTTCTACTGCAAGTTAACTTCCACTGAGTCTATGTAGGCTACTGTCTGGCTACATTATTGCCATCTGTCATGCATGCTCACATAATATAAGTTCACTGCTTCTTAGGAAGAGAGAGCAGCGGGAGAGAGTAAGGGTGAATACGTGATGAAATTGTCTAATCATTGTCTGAGTTAATTGTCTTCGAAAAATGCATAACTATGGTGATATGAATTCAGCCAGAAGTGATGGCAGATAGGCATAAAGAAAACGAACGCAAGAGAAGGTAACGAACGGTTCAATTCCTCAAAGCAGCTCATGACTAATGAAAAAGGACTAAGCCTACACTTTCCAAGGCTGTGCACTAATTTGTTTACAAAATAACCTATGTAAAGAATGATAGCCTAAGCACACAATTTTGCATTTCTGTATTAACAATTTCATTATGGAGAAAAAGGCATATCTACATACCTTCTCGAGATTTAGGTGCGTGTACTGACATCCGGTGCAATGTGATGGCCAACGCCTTTAAATGACCGTATTCTGCCGTTATAGGCGATGATCTCCAACACTGCTATATGGACAATTAGACATCAACCCCAAATTTAGCAAAAACGCAAAAGGCAAGCGGAAATGTATCCCAAAGAAATCATGCATGAGGTCCGTGCTGGCTTCTCAAGCACATCGCTTAAGATCTATAGGATATCCGAACAGCCAGATGGCACTGCGCATGCGGGTATTGCACTACAGTGGCCGCTGTACTGACTGAACAGACCAATGGCCCCTTTGTATGATAGAGATAATCAACATCCACCGTGTCCCCGTATTCAGCCACTCGAAAGGAAAAGGCGGGGAGTCTTTGAAAGCGCTTGACATATGGGTGCCTCTGCTGTTATGCATCGATGTGTGAGGAAACCTCATGGATAAGTGCATTTGTTGCAATTATACATTTTGGGCCTTGATAACAATCATTAGTAGGTCATGCTATATGTCCAAAATACAATTCATTGAGTGTTGTCAATGCAGCTTTGGCTTCAATTCATACTATGAGTAGGCCCTAGGCTATGAGGCATTTTCTATCAGACATAGCCTAGTGATTCCTTCATTGCTCCCATGTTTCAACTTGGGTAGCCTAAATTAGAGTTTATACAACACGTGTGTTGCTATTGTAGGCTATAGGTCTGCGGCTGCAAGTAGCTTTTGGGAATGTGCCAATGTCCCGGCATAGGGGGTCAATCTATTAGCCATCTGTCTTTGGAGTGTGTTCTATATCCACTGAGTCGGTCAACTTTGCTCTATATTTTTGAATTGGTCACTAGGTGGAAGTGTCACACCATCATTAGATACTCAACGAGTACAGCTGGGTTGTACAGTATTTGGTTGCAGCAGATAGTTTCTGTAGGCCTATCATCCTCATGGCAAAATGTGAAGATATCATGAGATGAGCTATAAAACAGCACATTTTTCTCTCTGCCCTATGGCAAAATGTGTAGAATTGCAGGAAATTAGCTTTAAAACCGCAACATTTTCTCTCAGCCTCATGAAAAAATTTGTAGAATAGCATTAGAAAACTGCACATTTTCTCTGCCCAATGTGTTGAAATGCAGGAAGTTAGCTGTTTTCCCCCAAAAAACTATTTCCCCAAAATACATTTGAATTTGTATTATTTTGGGTTTGGGGCCCCCGCTGTAGGTAGGTGCCACTGGGCCCAAAATGTGGTAGTCCAGCCCTGTTCCAAAGGCAGAAAATTCTTCCTCTGTCTTTTCACACTCAGTTCTATACCTCTGTCTGTTATTTTGTACTTTTCCATTAGTGATGTCAATGTTCCAACTGGAGGGTCCTCTCCAAACCGCATCCAAGGCCCTGCTTCAGTCACTATTTGAGGGAGGGGAAAATATTACATAACATGTGTACTGTACCTGTTCCTGTCTTCAATTTTACGGTGATATAATGTGACACATCTAACATATGCACATGACACACACACACAGCTTGTGCCTTTTGAGAATAACTGAGCTTTTTACTAGTTTCAAGTTTTATTAGTCGTATGTACAAGATTAACATGGTATACACCATCCAACGAAATGCTTACTTACAAGTTCCTTCTTGACAATGCAACAACAATAATAAATAATAAAAGATAAGAATAAGAACATAAAGTAGATGACTCAGTAGAATATAATAAATATTTTAGCATAAGTATAATACAGGAAGGCACAATTTATAGTACAATATTTACACATGTTTTGGGGAACGGGTTGTTGAGGGACAAGTGTTTAAATTGTGCTCTATTTAGCAATAATAATAAGAGTCTGGTATGTGTGATGTGTGTGTGTAGCATGAATGTATGTGTGTGTGTGTGGATGAGTGTATATCTGTGTGTGTGTGTGGATGAGTGCATGTGTGCTAAGGTGCAGAGAGTCAGTACAGGTGATCAGTCCAATTCAAGTGTTCAGCAGTCTGATGGCTTGTAGATAGAAAATAAAGCAGTATTTGAGCGGTACACACACTGCACCACCTTCTGTAAAGGTGGGTGAGCAGAGGAGAGGAAGAGGAAGCAGCTCTTGGAAGGGTCACAGTGTTTCTGTGCTACGTGGTGACCCTGAGGAACAAATCTCGCTCATTTCCCCTCAGGGAAGGGAAAACCTAGTCAGTTGCACAACTGAATGCATTCAACCGAAATGTGTCTTCTGCAATTAACCCAACCCCTCTGAATCAGAGAGGTGTGGGGGGCTGCCTTTAATCGACGTCATCGCCACTCAGGAAGCAGTTGTTGTTGGGAGTTAACTGCCTTGCTTAAAGGCAGAATGGCAGATTTTACACCTTGCCAGCTCATGGATTCAATCCAGCAACCTTTTGGTTACTGGCCCAACACTCTTAACTGCTAGGCTACCTTCTATGATGTACACATATGTTAACTGGGTCAAGCACAAGAGCCATCAGCAGGACTCTACAGCACTGTGTATGTGTATGTGTGAATGTGCGTGTGCATGTGTTTTTGTGTATGTTTCTTAATTAAAGAGATGTAGACCTGGCCATGCCCCAGTCAGGTGTGAAAGTGAGTGAGTGAGTGAGAGAGAGAGAGAGAGAGAGGGGGAGAGGTAGGAAGTGAGATAGAGATATGAAAGAAAGAAAGTGTGAGAGAGAGTAAGGAAGGAAAACTTCCACAGATCCACCTGCTCTCACTGTCAGTTGACCATATACAACCTTCATGACTGCCTCTGCCTCAGCATCGCTGCCAACCCAAACAAACACACATTCTCATAAACTACACACAGGCTGCAGTGTTTGGGCTCTAAGAACACACACACACCAGAGGAGGCTGGTGGGAGGAGATATAGGAGGATGCCCCCGCCCCACACACACACTTGTTGGCCTGTGGTCTTGGCAGCGGTGGTGCTTGGCGTATCCAGAATGTGGCGTATGTGTAGGAGGCCTGGCAGGTATCCCATATTCAGGTGGTTCATGACTATAAGCCTGCGCTCCCGTAACCCATGGCAACCGCACTGTGGAACCTATTCAAATGCCTACTGGGAGGTCTGCAGACTGGGGAGAGCAGCAGATAGTGAGCTGAATAAGTCTGCTTCATTAAGTACTATGGGATCCTAATGGGTGTACAGTTGAAATCGGAAGTTTACATACACTTAGGTTGGAGTCATTAAAACTTGTTTTTCAACCACTCCACAAATTTCTTGTTAACTAACTATAGTTTTGGCAAGTCGGTTAGGACATCTACTTTGTGCATGACACAAGTAATTTTTCCAACAATTGTTTACAGACAGATTATTTCACTTATAATTCACTGTATCACAATTCCAGTGGGTCAGAAGTTTACATACACTAAGTTGACTGTGCTTTTAAACAGCTTGGAAAATTCCAGAAAACGATGTCATGGCTTTAGAAGCTTCTGATAGGCTAATTGACATCATTTGAGTCAATTGGAGGAGTACCTGTGGATGTATTTCAAGGCCTACCTTCAAACTCAGTGCCTCTTTGCTTGACATCATGGGAAAATCAAAAGAAATCAGCCAAGACCTCAGAAAAAAAAAATTGTAGACCTCCACAAGTCTGGTTCATCCTTGGGAGCAATTTCCAAACGCCTGAAGGTACCGCGTTCATCCGTACAAAAAATAGTACGCAAGTATAAACACCATGGGACCACGCAGCCGTCATACCGCTCAGGAAGGAGACGCGTTCTGTCTTCTAGAGATGAACGTACTTTGGTGCGAAAAAGTGCAAATCAATCCCAGAACTACAGCAAAGGACCTTGTGAAGATGCTGGAGGAAACAGGTACAAAAGTATCTAAATCCACAGTAAAACGAGTCCTATATCGACATAACCTGAAAGGCCGCTCAGCAAGGAAGAAGCCACTGCTCCAAAACCGCCATAGAAAAGCCAGACTACGGTTTGCAACTGCACATGGGGACAAAGATCATACTTTTTGGAGAAATGTCCTCTGGTCTGATGAAACAAAAATATAACTGTTTGGCCATAATGACCATTGTTATGTTTGGAGGAAAAAGGGGGCAGCTTGCAAGCCGAAGAACACCATCCCAACCGTGAGGCACGGGGGAGGGGGGGGGGGGGGGGGGGGGGGGGGCAGCATCATGCTGTGTGGGTGCTTTGCTGCAGGAGGGACTGGTGCACTTCACAAAATGAATGGCATCATAAGGAAGGAAAGTTATGTGGATATATTGAAGCAACATCTCAAGACATCAGTCAGGAAGTTAAAGCTTGGTCGCAAATGGGTCTTCCAAATGGACAATGACCCCAAGCATACTTCCAAAGTTGTGGCAAAATGGCTTAAGGACAACAAAGTCAAGGTATTGGAGTGGCCATCACAAAGCCCTGACCTCAATCCTATAGAAAATTTGTGGGCAGAACTGAAAAGCGTGTGCGAGCAAGGAGGCCTACAAACCTGACTCAGTTACACCAGCTCTGTCAGGAGGAATGGGCCAAAATTCACCCAACTTATTGTGGGAAGCTTATGGAAGGCTACCCGAAACGTTTGACCCAAGTTAAACAATTTAAAGGCAATGCTACCAAATACTAATTGAGTGTATGTAAACTTCTGATACACTGGGAATGTGATGAAAGAAATAAAAGCTGAAATAAATAATTATCTCTACTATTATTCTGACATTTCACATTCTTAAAATAAAGTGGTAATCCTAACTGACCTAAGACAGGGAATTCTTACTAGGATTAAATGTCAGGAATTGTGAAAAACAGAGTTAAAATGTATTTGGCTAAGGTGTATGTAAACTTCCGACTTCAACTGTAGTTTGTATGGCTAATGTAAATATTCACTGGTGTATGTCCTGTCTCAGGGTTCACTGAAATGTAGAGCTGTTCAGAGTCCAGGTATTTCAGGGATATTTTGGAAGTGCATTTATCCAGTGGGTGCATCAAGTTCAGAGAGCGTAAATGTAGGCCCAAAACTATTAGTCGGTTTTAGTCAAAGCAAGAGCAATTAATCATTACAGAATAACTGTAGATATCTGAAATACTTAATCTACCCTAATCTCAATCCTGACCCTGTATCAGTGTTAAGGCTATGTCTACCGAATGTCTATTCTGGCTGCCGCATAGAACTGCACAGTAGTGGCGAAGTGGGTAAACAAAGGACAGAAACAGAAACAGAGCCTGGTAGCTAAGAGAGAGCCTGTGTGTGTGTGTGTGTGTGTGTGTGTGTGTGTGTGTGTGTGTGTGTGTGTGTGTGTG